GTTTGACCAAGTGGGCCGAATTGAATAACATTATAGATGAATGCCAAGCCGGTTTTAGGAGTAATTATTCCACTATTGATAACATATTTAATCTTCAATTTATAGTACAAAAATATATTAGTAAATCAAGAGGACGATTATATGTGTTTTACGTTGACTTTCTTAAGGCCTTTGACAATTGTGTACATTTCAAAATATGGGAAAGCTTAGAACGGAAGGGAATACCCCCTGAAGGCAGATTTCTAACGTTATTCCGGAATATTTATTCTCAACTTCGGTCATGTGTTAAAGTATCAGGACCTACGATGAACGGGTTGACTGATTTCTTTGAGTGCGCCAAATGAACAAAACAAGGTTGTGTGACGTCATCAATCATTTTTAACCTATACATAAATGACCTTGTGAAATACTTAAATAATAAATGTCACAAGAGCGATCAGTAATCACATGTGTCGCCTCATAATGGCCAATTTCATGTTGGGACAAATTTTGTGACAGACAGACAGACAGACGGACGGTGCACAACTAGACTAAGTACTGATCATGTAAAGTTTGGATAAAATTGCACCAGTAGCTTATGAGGAGTAGTCCGGACAAGCTTTTGCGTATCTGGCAACTCACAGAAAAAAACACCTTTTTATCAAAGGGCCATAACTCAGCCAAAAATCATTCAACCGGAAAACCCGTGCAATATGCGCAAGGACTTGAGCTACAGATCAATCCTGTAAAGTTTCATTGAAATTGCATAAGTGGTATAAGAGAACTAGTCCGGACAAACTTTAAAAATAAAAATTATTAAAGGGCCATAACTCTGACAAAAATCATTGAACCGTAAAATGCTGACAATATGCACAACTAGACTTGGTACTGATCATTCCTGTAAAGTTTGGATGAAATTGCACCAGTAGTTTATGAGGAGTAGTCCGGACAAGCTATTGTGTATCTGGCAACACACAGAAAAAACACCTTTTTATCAAAGGGCCATAACTCGGCCAAAAATCATTCAACCGGAAAACCCTTGCAATATGCGCAAGGACTTGAGCTACAGATCAATCCTGTAAAGTTTCATTGAAATTGCATGAGTGGTATAAGAGAAGTAGTCCGGACAAACTTTAAAATTAAAAATTATTAAAGGGCCATAACTCTGACAAAAATCATTGAACCGGAAAATGCTGACAATATGCACAACTAGACTTGGTACTGATCATTCCTGTAAAGTTTAGATGAAATTGCACCAGTAGTTTATGAGGGGTAGTCCGGACAAGTTTTGTGACGGACGGACGGACAGACGGACAGACAGACAGACAGACAGACGGACAGACAGACGACGGAGAAGTGATCCCTATATGTCGCCACTACTCCGTAGAGGCGACACAAAAATGGAATCACTATCTCACAACATACTGGAGAGCTGTATTGTTTATTATTTGCTGATGATGTCTCCAGTTTTGCCGACACGGCTATAAATCTCAAAAGACAAATAAATGAAATAAATAATTATTGTGTTGAAACTGGGATGTGTATAAACCTTGATAAATCTAAGATAATCGTTTTCAGAAATGGCGGCCCACTGAGAAAATATGAGCATTGGAAGTATAATGAAAATGAAATAGAAGTTGTCAATTGTTACAAATACCTAGGAGCATACTTTACCCCGACACTCTCATGGACTAAAACGAAAGATGTACTAGCCATACAGGCGACCAAGGCTGTTAATGTTATTTATGCTTATCAGAAACATTTTGGTTATTTTAGTGTTAATGATGCTTTCAAACTATTCGATGCTATTGTAAAACCCATATTGACTTACTCATCAGAGATTTGGGGATATAAAACATGTCGACAGATCGAAAATGTGAATATATCATTTTGCAAAAGAATAGCATGTTTAAATCAAAACGTTGCAAGTTTCTTCGCCCTTAGTGAATGCGGACGCCTTGCAATTAGTGTAACATATATGTCTAAATGTGTTAAGTACTGGCTGAAATTTACGGAAATGCCACAATATCAGTTACCAAGACAATGCTATATTATGCTTAGAAACTTAGATGAACAAGGACGAATCACATGGGCAACTCATGTTAAACGCATGTTATTTCAATTAGGCCTTGGTTACGCATAGACAGCGAACGGAGTCGGAAATGTTAATACATTCATGCAAGTATTTAGGACACGAGTCTCAGACTGCTGTAGACAAGAGATAATGTCTGACATTAATTCATCGCCTAAAGCAATTAGTTACAGAATTTATAAAATATCTTTTTCTGACGAATGTTATTTGTCACTGAGTATGCCTTATAAATATAAACGCGCATTAGCAAATTTTAGATGCAGTGGCCATGACTTGAAAATTGAAACAGGAAGGCACTTAAATATTGACAGAGAATTTAGATTTTGTTCATTTTGTCTTAAACGTAATGTGTATGTTGTGGAAAATGAAGTGCATTTTTTGATTGACTGTCAGCTGTACAACGACCTTAGACACAAACACTTAATTTTTTGTAATTGGAATGTGATTCTAAACAGTAATGAACGCTTTAATACTATAATGTCAGAAACAGCGAAAGACAATATTAGAAAATTGGCAAAATTTATCTATGAAGCAAATAGTTTAAGAAAACTTCAAATAACTGAACAAATTTAAACATATATATTGTAATGTTTTTAATTTATTTTTATGTGCCATGAATTTCAGTTACTCCATTTGTTGAAACGACCGTTTCTCTATGTAACCAATTACCTTTATGTTTAAATATTATATCTAAATTAATAGTTACCTCTTCAACACTGATATTAATCATATTGGCATTTGTTCATTATATGTTTAATTAATATTACCTTTATTTCAACTTAAATATTCAATATTACCATTATACTAATTACTTGTAAATATACTCATAACTATGTCTATTATATATAATTATATCTCACTCTTTGTTAAATTGAAATTGAAATTCGGATTGTATTTTGGGCTGAAGGCCTTATATTACTAATAAACTCATTGTCATTGGTGAAAATGTTGTGTAGTAACGAAAACGAATATGTTAGTAGAGTTTATAAATTATTGAAAAGTGATTTTGAAAATAACCCAAATGTAATTAACGGGTGTGCGAAATTAAAACAACTTTTATGTTCTTTAGGATTTTATGATGTCTGGTTACAGCAGAGTGTAGGAAATATTAAAATGTTTTTATCAACTTTAAAACAAAATTTGTCAGGTTTTGGTAAGATTTCGAGTTTCCTCTTATAGGCTACAAATAGTGGCTGGACGTTGTTCCAGACCTACAAGAACTCCTGTAAATGAACGTATGTGTTTAACGTGTAATGTTTTAGAGTTCAATATACTGAATTTAAGAAACAGTTTATTATTAAGAAATACTGAAAACATCCAACTATGGTAAAATTTATTGAATTGTTAACCAATGAATATGATACAAATAGAAACAAAAACATGATGAAAATTTATGTTTTATACAATTTCATGTTTCATGCTTAAAATTATCCATGATACACGTTTTTCATTTCGTTTCGGTAAAGTTGGTAGTTAATGTGGATGTGATTTGTATGTTCTTGTTATACTGTATATAGATATTGTTATCAGGACAACAGGTTGGGGCAAAATAAATTCTTGATAAAAACAAAAAGGTGTTATCATTTCTATAAATTTATTTTGTTTGTATTGGCAATTTATGTCCATGGCTGCTTGAAATATATGTTTTATATGAAATCAAAATACAATGAGGCACAACTGGTAGCCTACAAAAAACAACAAAACAAAGTCTATCAACTGAAAAAACATGAAAACAGCCTGGTGATCAGATACTGCATCATGAAATATAAAAAGTTCCTTGCCCAAATATGCAGGACAGTCTGGTGATAGCAAACATTTTGCTAAACAAAAAACAACAGTGAGGCGCCAAATGTCACTATCAACGGGCAGCCTCCAAAACACAACATATCAAGTTTATCCCCTCAAATCTAAAATTTGACAATTTAGAAAAACACATCACCATGTGTTACTGACAGCCTGGTGTACAGATACTGCCTACTTAATAAAATATCTGTCTCTAAATAAACCATGCCCGTATTCTGCCAAATGGACTTCGGCAGTAGTCCACCGCCACAAAGCGTACGGGCAAAGGGGAATTACATAGCAAGCCATGGACCAACCTCAGAGACATCAGGAAAAGAAACAACATCATTATTATGACAAAATTTATATAGTGCCCCTTGCAAAGTGTGCAGAAAGATGTCATTGCCCAAACTCGACAAATGGACTTGGTCACGGCGAAACAATGCCTGTGATTCTTCAACTATTTCTGGATACTTAATCAAAGCTCCGCCTTTTTTAACTATTTTTGTCGAAATGGAATTATTAATGCGTTTACGAGCTAGTTCCAAAGAGTTGTGATTGCGTTCATAACGCCATTTTAATCTTGGTAAAATTTGTGAAAACACTATAAGAGCAAATGAATATTTTTGAAAAAGCTCATTCAGTAGTGATCTTAGTGAAAACATTAGTTGACCTAATGGAGTTGAACCGACATTGTTACCTCCACAATGAATGACAATTATATCTGGGCTATTATGTTGAACAAGTTCTTCAATGGCTGATAGTGCATTTTCAACCTTCAAAGAAGAAACGCCTTTCCAATTTAGAAAAATTTTATACCTGTTTAAGCCCAGGTGTTGACCAACAGTATTCTTTGCATGTTGCTCAGCATATTTTATTATTGACGAGCCAACTATATACACTTGTAATGGACCTGCAAATTGAAAAAAGATCTCAGCATCGTGTAAAACTAAATACATGTAACTAAATGCGAATATAATTCTGATATGCCGAACTTTTCCACCTTCCAAGATTTTTTATTTGCTCCTCTGAAAAACCTTGTAAATATAAATCAGTTGCAGAACCTATACGAAAAGAGTGTGATTTATAATATTTGATGTTGTAGTTACTGAATTCAAGAACTTTCCTCATAACAAAGTTAAATTGGTATGAAGTAAGGTTTGTTCCATCAAAATGACAGAGAAATTGAGAAGAAATATTAGGTCTAACTGCAAGATACTGCAAAAGAGTAGAGTTAACTGTTGTTCCCTGTCCAGAATGTGGGATGATTAATCTAGTACCTTGACTTAACTGATCAGTTTTGGAGTGCCTAACTTTTATTGAAACTTGCATTTGATTTACCTCAACATCTGACAGTTGGATGACCTTATTTGACTCTCTTGGATTTGATGGAACAAACTCACTGATTCGTAACAATGCAAAATATGCCAAACAAAATGCGGCTTGAAAAAGGATAGCCTCGTAACTTGAAGTACACACAAAATGAAGATTTTTTAACAAAGTAATTAATATTGAATAAGAAATTGGTAATCTGATATCTGTTACCCTGTTGACCTTCATGTAACCTTTTAAGACTTTTCTCACAAGGAAGTGCTGTGTAGGATCAATGAAGTCATTAAGTTTACACTGAAAACTTAAAGCAGATATGTAACTATTGACAGTTTTAAATGAGTAACCCGCCAAAGACATATACGCAATGAATTCTAACACACTTTCGACCGAAGGTGGCCATGCAGGATTTTTGTTTAGCTCTTCTGTGAACTGCTTATATAAAGAAAGCCCATTATTATATGTCTTCAGAGTATTATCAGACATAGATGACATAGCTAATTTATCAATTTCTGTTTGAAAATGTTTAGAAACGAAACCGGGATTTCTTCCGGTGCCAATGACGCTCCAACTGGTAGAACTTTGCCTAGACGATTCCACTGTAAACGAGAGATTGCGTCAGTTATAACATTTTTTGAAGTCGAAATATGCAGAGCTCTGAACTGAATACCGTATCTCAAAGTAAAAAGCACAAGCTGACGTACCAGATTCATGACCTTGTTATTTTTTGATGACCTATTATTTATAATAGCTACTAAGGCATTATTATCAGTTCTGAAAAGAATTTTTTTCCTTTGAAAAAGGTGTCCCCAAACAGAGAGAGCCAACATAATGGGAATAAGCTCTAGATAAGTTATATCCCTTAAAACCTCTGGTGTTAGATCAGATGGCCACTTTAAAAAACACCACTTCCCTTGAAAATAAGCCCCGCATCCACATTCTTTATTGCCACAGGCATCAGTGAATAATTCCAGATTGTCTGAACTGGTCCATTCAAGGTCACTAAAGTAATAAATACCATTAAAATCTTTTAAAAACATAAACCATACTTCCATATCATAGCGCATTCCAGCAGAGACTCTTATGAAATGATGGGGTAAACGTGCTTGGGACATAGCATTATAAAAACGTCTATTGAATGCTCTACCAGAAGGAATGGCTCTGCAGATGAAATTAAGAGAGCCAACTAATGATTGTAACTGCTTAAGTGTAATTTTCTTTTTATCCATAAATGCTTCCAACAGATGTATTAACGCTATAATCTTTTCATGTGGAATTCTAATAATTCCATTTTCTGAATCTATTTCCAAGCCTAGATAAACAATAGTTGTAACCGGACCTACAGTTTTATCTTCATTTAGTGGCACCCCAATATCACCACAAATAAAATCAAAAGTATCAACTATAGCAGATAAGTCGGGTAATGTCATGGCCGCAAACAAAAAATCATCTAAATAATGGTCAATATTAGTGGACTTGGAATAGTTAGCTACTATCCAATGTAAGCAAGTTGAAAACTTTTCAAAGGTTGCACAGCTTAGAGAACATCCTTGTGGCATGGTTTTCTGAATTAAGATCTCCGATGTAAAATCGTTGTAAATACCCAATAGTGGGAAATCAGATGGGTAAACGGGAAGTAAATCGAACGCTGACTTTATATCTTTTTTCATGAGTAGTGCCCCTTTACCAAGACCTTGTACCATTTCTATAACACTGTCAAATTTTGAATATTGCACCGAGGTTAACTCTGGATCTATAAACTCATTTATGCTTAACGATGGAGGGAATGACAAATGAGTGATAAGTCGCCACCCTCCTGATTTTTTTGGTACCAAACCACAAGGATTAATTCTCAAATTGGAAAATGGTGGATGTTCAAATGGACCATAAAGGTGACCCAACATTAGTTCTTTATTTAGCTTTTCTTGAAATATTTCTGGGTACATTATGGCAGATTTTAAATTTTTTAGAAAAAGAGGGATGCGCGGCCCAGTATATCTTAATTTGAAACCATTTTGAAAGCCATTTAAAAGATAATTGGTGATGTCTTGATCTGGATAATCATTTAACCAAAAAGATAACCTCTCAACTTTAATAGGTGTTGAAGCGAGGTCCCATAAGCCTTGGTGTGTTCTGCTGGGCTTTTGCGGCAACTGGCATTCGATTTTGTCGATTTGGCCTGAAATTACTTACATTTTGAGAAGCTTGATTATTATCAGAAAACCTGCATTTGCAAACTGGATGATTCAGTGTACATTTCAAACATTTGTGCTGATAACTACAGTACTGCTTCTGACATAAACCTTTGAAATTATAATCATAGCATGGGCGGCTATCACTAAATACTTGATTATTACCACTAGTGCTAAGAAGCCATAATTCAGTATCAACAACAGCCCAGCTACTGGTTGGATTAACTGCCTTACGCAAACGAAACTGACTGTCATAATAAACCCAGTTTGCATTACGTGCTGCAAGCCTTCTGATTACTGACATATACTTTAAAAGACCCTGAGTTGCCTCAGGGTGTCTCAAAACATATATTGATATAAAAACTATGAAAGCATCTGACCATTTTTCTACATTTGTAATACTTTTAGGCTGTTTTTCCTTAGTGACAATGTTGCCATTCAGGAGTATAAGCATTTTAGCACTTGGTTCAGCTTGATTTTCAGGTAATAAAGCGCTCATTTCAATATACTCATTACTAAAAATTTTATTTTTTGTGCAAGTGGATACATGAAAATGTACATTTTCCACCGTTAGAGGAACAAGAATGTTATGATCAAATGAGTTAGTTGTTAAGTTAACATTTTGTTGTATGTTGTTATAATTATCATCGTTTGAAAAAGAAATATTGTTACTTGTACCGTCTGAAAGCTGTCGCCTTTCTACTGACTGAGGCTGTTCATGCTGAGGCTGTCCATGCTGGTGCATAGGTGGCTGTACATTGAGAAGTTGATGCTGAACAGGTTGCTGTACGTCAACAAGAAAAGGCTGGACAGCAGGTTGCTGCACAATCACAGGAGGCTGAAAGTTTACTGATGTAGGCTGATGTACAAGAGACTGACTGACAGGTGGTTGAACAGGTTGTTGTATGTCAACAAAAAAAGGCTGGACAGCAGGTTGCTGTTCAATCACAGGAGGCTGTACAGGTGGTTGGACATCAGGGGGTGACTGACGTGCCCTACGCTGCAAGACCTGCTGATGCAGGGGCTGGACACCTTGTTGATTATTTTCCCTTAATTCCGACCTAGTCTTCCTTGACCTTGGTTTTGCTTTTGGCATCTACGACAAAGATAATTTTATTAATAAAAAATTTAAAAAGATATTAAATAATCAGTTGACATTAGTAAGGCTGTTCGGGCACTAGGTTCTAATCCCAGATTAGCTGGTAATTTATCAATAAATAAAATACCAGTTTATTTATCTACCTAGATATTCTATATAGAATCTATTATTATTATTATTAGATTCTAGATATTTTTATTTTATTATTTACTATTTAGTTTATTTATTTTATTTTTATTTATTTATTTTTTTATTTATTTATTATTATTATTTTTTAATTATTATTATTATCATTATTATTAGTTGTACTGGAAGTAGATCATCTGATGATGACGACTTCATCGTATCAAATAGATCTAGCTCTATATCTAATTATTAAATTTAAAGTCGTAATTGAAGTCATTAATAAATATTTATTAGTAGGCCGCTAAGGCACCCGTGTTCAGAAACCAACACATCATGGTAGCTGACAATGATTAAAACATGTGTTTTTGTACTAATTAAATAGAATATTCTTCAAGAATTAAGAATTGTAATTATGACGTCATCATCGAGCATGCGATGGCAACGTGACCAAATTCTTTACCGTCTATAAACTTTTTTTGCAATAAACATGACATGTATACAGAGCCAAAATGGACTATTTATAATCAAGTATCAATTGTGCAAAAGAAATACTGTTAATAAGTGAAGAAAATAGTAATTAAAAAAGAAATGCTTCTCTGCAAATGAATTTGCCTTTTTTCTCCACGGTGTTTTCCAGAAAGGAAGATAACTAAATTCCGTACTTCACGTACGGTTCTGTATATACTAAAAGCAACATACCGTTATCCTGAGTGCATGACAAATTGCTTTGTCCAAATAATGTGTACAAACCTTATTATTATTGTAATAAATTCATACAATAATTCCCTTTCTTTTTACAACGAAGATTACAATATATTACTACATGTACCTTAATGTATATATCTACAAATTCTGATTGTAATTCAAGGAGAAAATGTTGTTCTCATGCTACAAGTTTTAACATACATGTATTTACATTCAAGTCATAATATTAATGATGTGAAATAAAATTATTAAGAATGTTAAGCTCAAATAATATTATAATCATGAAAGGAGGCAAGGTCTGATAAAGGGAAAGTCTGTTAAACAAACCAACACATCACCAGGGGTGGGTAGACTGATCTAGAGTCGCACATTAGTAATACAATATTGAAGTTGAAGTTTCTTGTTAGTGTTGCAAAACTTAAATATATCCCAAATGAAAACCAAAACTCCTGCGTACTGTTTTTTTCTCTCTAAATTTTAATGACTCCAGATACTGATTAAAACATAAAAATAAAAGCCTGACCTGCGGGTCTTTGACTTTCCTGTAATAATACAAATTTCTAGATGTTAAATTTTATTTAATTCTTACTGGTCTTACTTATTGAAAATATTAAACTTTATCTTCAGTCTCCTAAGAGTTTACGCTGTTATAGTAAACACTTTAACTTATAATGTACCTGAGATAGCCAGCATGAAGTTAAAGGCCTAAGGTAGCACTCCACACTAAAAATCAAGTTTCTGCGGTCAATGTCCTATAAGCAATATGTCTGATAAATCTGATCCCAAACTGCACAACCTGAAAAAAGAAAACACATTTTGTTAAGAATATATATGTCATAGCATTGCAAATTTATAATAAAATCATCCCATGCGAAACAGTCAGGCAGTTAAAAAATCCAATTTATTCCGTAAAAGCCAAACATCTACAGTGGTCCGAGACCCAAAACAACATATTTCGTCCCTCCGGCAAAAAATACCGGCAAATATACGGGCTACAGAAACTCACTGCTTTAGCAACTCCCTATATATGCAGAATATCACAAAGAAATAGGTGCTTGGCCTTGTAGATTTTTTGCTATTGCTGAAAGTTTGTACCCCCTGTAAAATTACTTGTTTTCACCGAGCATGCTGTTTAAAAGCAATGTTTACAAACAATGGCGGCCTTGACATCTATAATTAACAGCATGTGATTGCTAACCATAACGAATTTGCCAATTATCATTTTACATGTCACAAAAACAAATTTCATGCTGAAAATGCACTTAGACAACCAGTCATTTAAATCCACAATAGTCACTATATCCATGAAATCCTCCCTGGCCATTCGAAGCTGTGGCTTCAATTAGTGTGGTGTGCTGCCTAAGGGCATTGATGTAGACTAGGCGTTGATTACTCAATAATAGTTAAGTTCCAAAGTTAAATTTAACATCGAGAAATGATCTCACCGCTTATCTCGTCAAAAATGTATTGAATGCAATAGGTTATTTATTGGTGAATTGTATACTATCTACGCAGGTCAAATCGAGATAAGGGAACAACTTTTGCATTTTATATTTCTTCTTCGTTAAAGTATGAATAATTTGTATTCAATTTAAACATTTTGTGTAATTTGATATTTCAAGGATTGTAAAATTGTAGTTACTCATAACATATACCTAAATCGATTGTGTTTCAACACCATGTTAAAAGGTGAGTTATATTATTATAATATAATTATTTACTTGTAATATTGACTTAAATATTAGTCACGTAATGGCGTTCATTCAACGCTGCCTAGAATATGATAAATAAGATCAACAAGGAAAGGCGGCGTTCAATGAACGCAACCCCTATCAGACCCATTAACAAGAGCCAGTGGCAAGGAGCCCAGGAGGACCCAAACAAAAACGGGACAGGGCACAAGGCAGAACATGGGCAGGCTAACCACTAAAATCATACATAAGAATATATAATTAGTAACTGATAAGGAATTATAAGAAAACAAATAAATGATTGAATAAAAGGCCCATAAAGTCAAAGGACACAAGGGAAGGGGACATGAGTCCCGGGGAACGGGGCCTACAAACCTGGCTTCAAGCTTCGTACGAGAAAATAGTTTGTTTGGTTTTGTGGCGCACCAACATAATCTATTTCATATGCCACCGGAACAGGAAATGTTGTTTTTTCGGATGTTACATACATAAAGCAAAAAACAAAAGAGAGCAAAAAAAAATGCGAGAGCAAACTGTTGACTGTGTCGGACTATTACGCTACGGCGAGTTTTATACCTTATAAAAGATCATCACAGTACACAAAAAGTAAATCATTTTCATGTAATTTTCATGCTTGTTCCTGTGACGTCATCACACGTCACTAGTCTATTTTTAGAAATGCCGACGACTCTTGGTAAATAAAGCATATCAAGAAAATGCAACAGGCATTTGTGGGATTGTAAGAAGGTTCGTGTTTTATTATCAGATATATTGCCTTTACCAATGATTGAATGAGACTCAACCGGATGTTCAGACGTGATTTGGTCAACCCGTTATTTAATCACACAGGAAACCTGCATGCGTTTTTTCACATTTTGATCTTCGCATACGTGTTATCTATACGCCATTATCAATACTGGTTCTTTTTTTTCCAGAATGATGATCTATTTCAATTTACATTTACACTTTTGAACGTTTTAATTTGAAACTTGAAACGGTGTCTTCGAGTTATGCATGTTGTTATTAATCAGTTCAAAAGTAGCATTTTTAATATACCGATCAAGACGACTGAATTGATGAATTGAAGGAAAACTATGAAACACGTTTTAACAAAACTTTATTACTTTCTTGACATGGATATTCAATGCTAAGAATGCTTTGTGTAATCTGTTATGGTCATTTTGAATATTTTTTTTTTTTCAAATTCTAACTTTAAATGCGACTTTTCGTACCGAAAACACTTCATAAATTTAAATCAGCTTTGTATAAGAAACTTAAGTTTATCGATAAAACGAACGAAACATTAAACCGACTTTAAAGCACAACATATAAACCGTATTCACTGATTAAGTTATGTATAAAAATCGATTGAACTAAGATCAATAAACCTTATCTTTATGTTTGCGTAAAACTAATAGTTTATATTTAAACGTACAAAAGCTAATTAAAAACTACGGAAATACTATGGTGTTCCATATAAGGACTCCTAATTATCAAAACTACCAATAACAACTAATTAATCAAATATTTTAACTGAATAATCTAAACGTATAAAATTACTATGTATGGATACTTAAATATTAAAACACGCTACAAATAACTAAACTTTGTTATTGATCAAATATTGTTAATATATGCTCGTTATTAACCTTTAAACGTTGTTGTTTAAATGTTAAACAATGTAATGATAAAACATAAGGAAACATAAGGTTGTTAAAATGATTATATTACATATACAAATACTAGTCAAACTTTCAATTTATGATTTGAAATTTTGAAGTATGACACTTCAAAATTCTAAAGAACTTACATTGTTTACATATAAGTCAGTATCGGATGAGATGAATGATTGTTTTTTTTAATTCAGCGTTGAAAGACATATTACAAAGGGGTTATTATTTTTACAATGAAACTTTTTAACATACGATAAAGATGCATGCCTTCAGGTGAGCAAAAATATTTCAAAAAATGTAAATGAGAATGAAGCTTAAGTTCAGGGAATAATTAAGATGTTTTATGCGATGAGGGACTGATTTTGCAGTATGTATCACCTTATTTATCTACTTTATCTACTGCGTTACTAACACAGTAAGGAAGTTTTTGCCTAATATGGCTTTGGTATTGGTATTGGTATTTTTAGTTTCTTTTTCAACTTCGGTGGCTCCAGTATTCCTACTTGAATACTGTATAATCACCCTTAGGATATGTTGCCTGCTTTTTAAGTTTGTCTTTGGACGTCTTGTCTGTGATGTGCAGGCTTCATAACCTCAGATCCCCTTACGAAATTCCATTTTATTTATTTCCGCCCTCAGGGCACACACATACTTTTACTTGAGGACCATACGCTGTCTTTCATGGAATGACACTACTGTGTCACATTGAAGGTTCCATGATAACCGCCGTATGAACACATTTGCGGATGTTTCTAAATTCAAAATAAATTCGCTACGTCACAATCTCCACTATCGTCGCTATGTTGAACACATGCGTGATTCAAAATTGAGGGTGAATCCTCCGAGTAGAAGCTACAAAATATAAAACATGGTAAATATCCATGGTACACAAATATAAGGGTAAAAGTGTGTCCCTTTGTCGGATTCCTATAAACAAAGCTTCTAAAAAAATATAATGTCACTTATGGAACGCCATACACACTGGTGTAACAAATTCAACGTTGATTATATATCGTAGCACGTTGTAAGATACACTTAACGGAACTT